CCTTTAAGAGGGACTCTTTATGATGAACTCTTTCTTACAGAAGCGTCCCCACAGGAAGTGGACCTGGTCGAGCCCCGACGGTTCGACACAAAATGAGATTGACGGAAACTGTTCAGTGATGTCTCAGTGATCAGGAGGACCTAATTATGTAAAAAAATACCTTAATTTTCAAAATATTATTAACATGTGTTTGAGGTATTCCATTGGTTTGAAGAGTACCTCCCTCCCTCTCACAATTGCGTACACCATCACTGCCGTCACATAAATTGGACCTGTTAATGTTGTTTGATTAACTTATATTTTTATTTTTGAAAAGGTTATTTAGCTCTCTCGGTATTATAAACCACGGGATGATATGTCGGATCACAAAATATCAGTGTTAAACTAGTGTGAAACAGTAGAAAAATGTCGCGATTCTTATAGTAAGGCTGTGGGGTAACAAGGTACTCTCCCATGTTGATAACGTACTCTGCATTCTTAAATAAAATAGGTAAGTCATCATAATCATCATCACAGCCCTTCACAAGTCCACTGCTGAACATAGGCCTCCCCCAGTGAATGCCAAAAAGCACGGTCCTGAGCCACCTGCATCCATCGACTTCCTGCATGTCTTACCAGGTCGTCACTCCATCTAGTGGGGGTCGCCCTACACCTCGCATACCGCTACGAGACTGCCACTCGAGAACCTTTCTTCCCCATCGGTTGTCGATTCTTCGAGCTATATGGCCGGCCCACTGCCACTTCAGCTTACTAATCCGCTGGGCTATGTCGGTTACTCTGGTTCTACTGCGGATATCCTCATTTCTAAGTTTATCACCCAGAGACACCCCGAGCATAGCCCTCTCCATAGCTCGCTGACCAACCTTGAGCTTCCTCATGCGGCCAGCAGTGAAGGACCACGTCTCAGATCCGTAAGTCATCACTGGCAACACGCACAGGTTGTACAATTTCGTTTTCAGGTTTTGAGGCACGTCTAACGAGAGGATGTACCGCAATTTACCGAACGCCGCCCAGCCGAGTTGAATCCGTCGATTGACCTCTCGGTCGAAGTTGGACCTACCCAGTCATACTATTTGTCCCAGATAAACATATTCGTCAACAACTTCAAGCTTAGTGCTCCCAACAACTACCGGCATAGGTGTGACATGGACGTTAAACATGATTTTCGTTTTGTCCATGTTCATCTTAAGACCTATCCGTTGGGAGACACTATTGAGGTCATTGAGCCTGGTGCTTAGGTCCTCCAGCGATACTACCATAAGGACTATATGGTCGACAAATCAAAGGTGAGTGATGTACTCGCCATTGATGTCAACACCGCATCCTTTCCAGTCGAGTAGCTTGAAAACGTCTTCCAATGCAGCGATGAAGAGTTTCGGGGATATAACCTCAGCCTGTCTTACACCTCTCTGCAGTTGGATAGGTTTCGTACTCTGATTCTGTGCTCGGATAGCCATCGTAGCTCTACTGTAGAAACACTTCAGCACTTCGATATACCGACAGTCAACTTGGTACCGCTGAAGGGACTGCAGTACCGCCCAAATTTCGACGGAATCAAAGGCTTTCTCATGGTCCACATACGCCAGACATAGTGGAAAATTGTACTCCTCGGATTTCTGTACAATTTGCCGAAGGGTATGTATGTGGTCTATGGTACTAAAGCCCTTTCGGAAACTGGCTTGTTCGGGAGGCTGGAAGTCGTCAAGTCTGCGCGCGTGACGATTCGTAATGACTCTCGAAAACAGCACGTAGACGCGGCGCAGAAGGGAAATCGGTCTGTAGTTCTTCAAGAGAGCGTTGTCGCCTTTCTTGAAGAATAAAACCACCGCACTTCTGCTCCACGCCTCCGGTGTAATGCCACCATGGAGGACGGTATTAAAGAGCTTCTGAAGTACTTCAAGTACCGGTTTTCCACCCGCTTTCGAAAGCTCCGCTGTAATTCCACCCTCACCCGGGGATTTTCCGTTATTTTATAGGTGAATAAAAAAAATGCTATGTTTTAAGGTTCAATAACATTTTATCAATTAAATTTTAACTCCGACATATTTCACCCTCTTCAGTAAATAATAAGGAGACGGAAACTCACATTATACTAGTCGGTATTAATAGCGTGGTTGTAATTTGAAATGGAAATTTAAAATTTTTTCAATTTATATATCGGAAAATTAAATCGTAACCGTTTATTATCTAGTCAAGGAAATGATTCAAATTGCTATGTGCAATGACCCTCGCCGACGAGGTTTTCAAATGCTATGTAGGAAATAGAGAAATATGCTTGGGTTAATAAATACAAAAACATGTATAAGGAACTACTAGTACCATACTGCCTGTTTATGTGCAATTTATCAGCCATTTTAATGACAGAAATAACCATTTGATATCGCTTTCTAAGTATGAATACATTAGTCATAATAGCTCATTTTTACCCGACTAAGCGACAGCAAAGACATGGTTATACATTTCACGCATATGCAGATAATATGCATGAGGGGTACTTTTATTTTAATGATTGAATGCGTATGAAGCATCCCTACGGATACTTTTAATCTATTGATTAAATCCATCCACAGTGAGGTGTCTGTCGATTCTTCTAAACCGTGCTATGGTTATAGGTTAGATTTTGTTTTTATAAAACTTAAATGGCCGCCAAAAAAAACCAAAATGTCGGTGGAGGTGAAAAAAATTGCGTACCATATTTAGCATCACTAAGCATCATCGTCATCAGCATTGCGGCTAATCACAAGTCAAGAATATAAGCCTTCTCTAAAGCGTACTACAAAGGACGTTCCCAAGTCACCTGCTTTCGACTTGCTGCATCTCTTACCAGATCATCACTTCATCTTATCATTTGACGGCTCCGTGGCGCAGTGGCTTAGTAATGAGCTGCTGCGCTGGGGGCCGCGGTATCGAATCCCGCACGGAACAAGTATTTGTATGGTCTACAAATAATTGTTCCGGGTTTGGATGTTTGTCCTTGTGCAATTTGTGTTTGTAAACTGCCTCCACGATACAGGAGAAAATCCTAGTGGGGGTAACGTATTTTTAAAAAGAATTAAAGAAAGAATCTGATGAGGGGCTGTCGTACAGTTCGCTTAACGATACGAGAATGTTTATATCACTGATAACTCTTTCAAAATCAAGATGATGTTGCCAAGACTATTTATTATACTCCGTTTAAGAATTAAATAATCTAAAATTTGTGAAAGTAGGATCTCTACATATTTCCTGATAGTTAATGCGGTTGGGGTTCTTTTTTTAACAGTGGTAGAGCCACGCGGCAGCTTTTGCTGTCGCACGGATGGGCCGGCTCGAACCGGGGTAGTACCACGACCTCACAGAAAACCAGCGTGAAGTAGAAGTTTACCTCTGCGTTTCGCTTGGTGAGTGCAGGTGGCCGGAGGCCCTTTTTACTGGAAATGAGGCATTCCATCTTAGTCCTCACGGGTGACAACGCATCTACATTTTGATTTGTAACAGAGGATAGATGTAGATGTCTATGGGCCGCAGCAACCACTTACCATCAGGTGGACTGTGTGCTCGTTTGTCACCCTTATCCTACAAAAAAAAAAATTTATCCCTTTAACAATCTACTTGATGATAATACTGATGGTGGTGGTTGCTGTGACCCATAGATATCTACATCTATCCTCAATAAAGAATCAAAATGAAGATGTGTTTTCACCCGTGAGGACTAATATGGAATACCTCTTTTCCAGTAAAAAGGTCTCCGATACTCTACACCCACCATTTGAAACACAGCAATGTTAAGCTGCTATTTTACGCTGGTATTCTGTAAGAGCGTGGTGCTTTCTCGGTCGAGCCGGCTCATTCGTGCTACAACTATACTACTATTATAGCTGCAGCATGGCTCTACCACGGGTTTGTTATTTTTGAATGAATAAACCACCATTTATCTGTCACCAGAGTCCATTTCTCTTTTATTCTGGCTTGTATCCATTAAGATTGGCCCGAATGGCCACCGTAAACCGAACCGGAAATTTGATCTGGAGGCCTTTATTATTATTATATTATAAATGTGATGATAACGACATGGCTTAGAGGTTGGAGTAGCTGGTCACTTCGCAGTTGGGTTTGTATTCAATCCGGTACCGTACCGTTTGCATTGTTACTCTAAATAATGAACTTTTCTTTATCAGCTTCAGGCTCAACGGAAATTTGTAGTTCAAAGAATTCACTTTCTCTAGAAGTCTCACCCAAGCCTAAAGAGATGATAACCATACTTAAGTGCTCTTTGAACTTACCTAGCTTGCACCACTTTGATTTTACCGATAGTAACGCCATATAGATAAGAGTAGTGACGCAGTCGTTCAAATGGAGCGCCTCAGCCACGGTCAGTGACTCGAGTCGAGGTAGATTCAAGGCGCGGTCTAGACGTGGCGTGGGCGCGCTTTGCACCAGCACTGTGCCACCATTTTACCGTATTTCATAGCATTAAAATATATCTGACACGAATGACACGAACAGTTATAAATGATTAGAAAACACTATTTGAATCCTAATGTGTTTTCTGTCAAGGCATTAAAAAAAAAACCATAATGCCTTAGGCGAAAAACACACGTTATAAAAGGTTGTGTCTATCAAATTCGAGTTAGACGAGAAAAAAGATGCATCGAGCAGTTTTCAAATGCAGAAAAGAAACGAGTGATTTTAGTAAAAAAAAAAACTAAAGCTGAAGGTTTTCGAAATGTGCAGTTAATTGCAACTAATTCCACCGCCCCGGGCTGCGATTACGAGCGGGAATCAAACCGGCGAAACTCCGTATCATAACTCATGTGTATAGTCGGCGGTACGTTGATTTATTTGATAGGCTGGCGTTTGGGGATGATATGTGATAACTAGCGCGTGTTTAATTGCGAGTTGGATCTGGAAGTTACTTTATCGTAAGACCGCGAAAAAGCAATAGAAAAAAAAAGGATATTATATGTTTAATCTGCCTGGCTAAGTAGCTCCAATCCAAATGATATTGTCCCGGGTTCAAGTTACAAATGGATCCAACATTTGTGCAAATGTCGTAAGTTGTGGTTTCCAAGCATTATATCAGACATGGCTAGGTTAACACGAGTGTGTGGTTCCATGCAAGTGTAACGTTTAAAATATCACTTTTAATATACACTGATAGCTTGTTACGGTATTTGGAAGCTGCCACATATAAGCTTCGTGATCAGAAACTCATAATTTTTAAAAATTGATTACGACTCTATGTCTTCTTGTTTTTGTGTTATGTTACAGACCATACCTTAATTCATTATCCTTTGTCACCACTTACAATACCTAACGTTTGTAGTAGATTTACTTATATCGTCATTATACAACGAACAGAAACAGGAGATGGTCAGCAGCATTTTCCTGATAACAAAAAAAAAAACCTCTTAGGTTGCCAACTCGTTTGCGAAGCGTGACAACAGGGGCTAATACCCCCCCCCCCCCTCCCCCCGTTAGGCAATCTATGGGTGAGGCCTAAGTTTAGCAAAAAACTTTTAACAGGCTGTAATGATGATGATGATCATAATGATTAATAGACGGATGCCTTAAACCAATGAAAAGTATCTTGTGCTGCACTTTGAGTCAATTTATAACAATAATTTTAGCATTTACACTTTAAGAAATGTCGGAATTTTAGATTGTAGAGGGAAACAATAATTTATCCAGGTACAGGTATGTACGCATTTGATTATTTTTTGAAAAATGATACAAAACTGACATTAAAAGATAGCCATAGCTAGTGAATAATTAATTGTCTATTATATTATTTTATTCTTAAAGTAAGAAAGTTAATACAAAGATTTATTACATTTTTAATATCTTTCCATAGTATTTATCGTTTTCCTTTTCCCTAAATAAACCCCTTAATTAAAGAAATATATGATTTCCAAATGTTATTGCAGCGTAGTGCTTATCGCATTACATCTATTCGACGATAGATGGCGCCTCCAGACGAACACTTGCACTTTGCGTCTATGAGTAGTAGATTGTAATAACCAATAAATTAAAAAAAAATGTGTTTAATTATTTAGTTACCTATATTATTTAGAAGGATTTGTATTTTACTTAATGGTATGGCTCCCTTTTTGGCTTGCAGTCCGTTCCGTTAACGTATGTTAGCTAATTCTGCCGCCAAATCGCTGTGCACTATCGTACACTATCATAATATAACATTTGCAACAATCTTTGTTATAAGTGAGTCTATGAGCTATTGTAGCACTTATTAATCGGTAGGCCGTTAGCTCATACAACAAGCAGCAGCATAAGGATTAAGGTGTATCTTCTCTACTACGAAAGAGGCCGCTTTCCAGCAGTAGACTTTTACGGACAGATAAAGAGGAAGAAGGGCAAGGTTGACATGGTGGTTAGTTAACATTGGGTTGAATTTTATTAACCGACTTCAAAAAGGAGGAGGTACTCAATTCGACTGTATGTTCTTTTTTATGTGTGTCACCTCATTACTTTTTTCTTGGTGCACTGATATTGATGATTTACGACTGTTTATGCTTGCTATTGAATTCTATTTATTTTTGAAAATAGTTTTAATAAAATTAAAATACCAAGCAAGATCGAGTCGGTGTGTATGAGGAAGTTAGAATTCATTTGGCAAGCTAGAGCGACGGTAGTTCTTAGTATGATAGATTTTATAACGAAAGAAATACTTTTATATTATTTATTTATACACAGAAATTACATGCTTTAATCCCCCCCCACCCACCCCTTTCCGTCATTGGATAACCAGGCGGGCGGCGGGTTTCACCCCTTTGTAGTCGATATTCGAATCTTGTTTGCTTCGTCTTGCGTACCTACTGCCGGTGTCTGTCTTTCCGTCCGATTAAAATTTGCACGTTTTCAAGGCAAGACGAAATAGGTTTTTGTTACGCAAGACATACGATCTACCGTCTAGGGTTTCATGAGCACTTACCAGGTGGGATTGTTGTTGTTTTTTTTCAAGCTTATAATATATAATAAAAATACCGCAGTAAACTAAATTACCCTGTTTACTATCATCAAAGATGTAGTGTAGATAAACATATAAGAGTCAACTATGGAAAATGATAGTTAGATATCACGGATAGTGAAGGTTCTTTTGATAGACGATTTATTAAAATTTTATAACAATTTAAGTAAACTTGTATTCTTAACTAATATTTACTGATGGAAGTAGGATAAATGAGCACACAGTTCACCTGATCATAGTTTATCATATATCAACAATCATAATAATTTAAAATTTTGTACAGCCGACTTCAATATAAATTATTAAGAATAACTAAAAACTATTAGTCTCATCTTGATCAAATTCATATGAGACTACATGAGAAGCGCCAGCTTTCAAATAAAAAAAAAATAATCGAAATCGGTTCACCCAGTAAAAAGTTATGAGGTAACACACATAAAAAAACGTACAGTCGAATTGAGTACCGTTTCCTTTTTGAAGTCGGCAGAAAATGAAAATGTGTCGCTCTGAAGACTAAAATGGAATGCCTTTTAGCAGTAAAAGAGTTATGCGGTTATATTTTAAAACATATTTGTGTGAAAATGTTCTTAGTGGCAGTCTTGAACCGATCAACGGGGAAGAGTAACCCCTACTAAATGAAGTGGCAACCTTATGAGTATGGTAGTTGGGTAAATGCCAGAAAATTCATTGCTTCTGATAGAGGGCGGTATAACCATTTCATTTACACTAGACCTAAACAGACTAGTAACGGAGAGAGTCAAAGGTGTGATACATTTGGTACTGCGATAGTCAATACGTTTGCCAAGCGTGGGGATTAAGGCTAATGTTCTATATAACGGGAGAAACCTAAACCCAGTGGAATTCTAAGTGCTAATAAAGAATAATTAAAAATTAAAAATTTTGTACAGCCGACTTCAATATAAGTTATTAAGAATAACTCAAAAACTATTGGTCTGACCTTGATCAAATTTAAATGGAACCACACGAGAAGTACCAGCTTTCAAACAAAAAAAAATCGTCGAAATCGGTTCACCCAGTAAAAAGTTATGAGGTAACACACTTAAAAAAAATACAGTCGAATTGAGTACCGTCTCCTTTTCGGAAGTCGGCAGAAAAATAACAAGAACATAGTAGTTTAATACCATGCTCCGTAGAAGTCTATTTGGTTGCGTTGGAATAAGTAAAATCATAATCATTATCCAATTTCGTTCTTTTCGAAAACTGTGTCATCTCTTTTTAAAAGAGTAAGCGACAAACGTAAGTAAATGCTGGCGCACATTGACACCTACGTCTCGATTAAGAAGACACAATAGATACTAAGACCGTATGTCTTTAACGAGGAGGGAGTCAGTAAGTTTTATGTTAAGTTTTATACGCGGTAGAGCCACGCTGCAGCTATATTAGTAGTATAGTTGTAGCACGAATAGTTGGACCACACTCTCACAGAATACCAGCGTAAAATAGCAGCTTACCGCTGCTGAGTTTCGTATGGTGAGTGTAGAGAACCGGAGACCCTTGTTACTGGAAAGGAGACATTCCATCTTAGTCCTCACGGGTGAGAATGCATTTGCATTTTGATTCGTAATCGCGGATAGATGTAGATGTCTATGGGCCACAGCAACCACTTACCATCAGGTGGACTGTGTGCTCGTTTGCCACCCTTATCATATAAAAAATGTACGAAGGATCTCCGGTTACCAAAACTCATAACATGAAAAACAGCAGTATATTAGCGATCGAGCTGATCTATTCATGTTACAACTATAATAGAGGTTTAGCTACAGCGTGGCTCTACTACACGACATTATTATGTATTTAATATATAATAATATATATTTAATAGGTGTGTAAGTTCTATACTTATATAAATTTTTCATCTCTTATCCATTCAACAAAGTCAAACATGATAAGCACTATCTGAATACCAGTCTCGTACGTCGTCAATTCTAGCTTTTTGTATGAAATATATACTTAATGCAACACTAGAAAATTCTGGTGCTTTCAAAACAGAATCAATCAAAGTCGTTAATGAGACTAATAAATCGTTCAGAAGGAAGCATAATTTTACCAGTTTGAAATAGAAAATACCTCATTTATAACCGTATATACGGCATTCGTAGAAATATCTTATCTCAATTTAATGCAAGTGATTACCCAACCTCGGGCCGTTCTAACCCTACCGCTTTCCACACGAACGCAAAGACAAAAGAATCGAAAGAACAAACAAAACGATACGGGCCCCAGGAACCTGTGGTAACTGGCCACGGGTAATTGTAGGCAGTCACGCAAGCGCCGCACGCAAGCCGAGCCTCTTCTAGATGCGCTTGTATAAGATTTTGCGAAAGTTACTATGGATTTTATGTCAAGGCGCTGTGCGAGCGAGAGGGCAGAAGACGATTATAAAGTGCCGATACGGGACAAAATATTCAGCCCTTTTCCCAGAATATTTTACATAACAACTAGTGGTGTGTTGCTAACTGTAATAATATAAAGTCACATACAGCCTTTATGCGTACAATCGCTGGATACAATGAGAAGAGAAATGGGAGGAGACCTTATTTTAGTGGTCACAATCTAACAGGCCAATTAATCCTTGCTGAAATTAATACATCCAAAAAAAACGTCACCATAGCCGCAAAACATATTACACGCGAAGGTGTGTAATAAAATACTATAAAAAATTATGAATCATTATCATTACATCTCATTACAAGTTCACTGCTGAACACAAGCTTCCCCTAAAGAACGCCTCATAGAACGGTTCTGAGAAACTTGCAACCATCGACTTCTTGCATCTCTTACAGGCCGTCAACCATTTAGTGACGGGCCGCCTTATACTTCGCATACCGTTATAAGACTTTCACTTGAGAACCTTTCTTCCTCATACTGAATAAGCAGCTATAATATCCATTTCATTACAGCCTATAATAAGTCCACTGTCACATACATGGTACACTTACGTGGTAGAGCCATGCTGCAGCTATATTAGTAGTATAGTTGTAGCACGAATGGGTCGGCTCGACCGGGGAAGGACCACGCTCTCAGAGAATACCATCGTAAAACAGCAGCTTATAGCTGCTGTGTTTCGTATGGTGAGTGTAGAG